ATTTCATCGAGACAAAGTACACACACACACACACACACACACACACAAGATTTCTAATTTCTATACCTTATCTGTTTAAAACTAGAGGACATAATGAGAATACAAGAACTAAACTTATATTGAAAGCACTAAATAGGCTTTTCTAATTTCTATACCTTTTCTGTTTAAAACTAGAGGACATAATGAGAATACAAGAACTAAACTTATATTGAAAGCACTAAATAGGCTTTCTAATTTCTATACCTTATCTGTTTAAAACTAGAGGACATAATGAGAATACAAGAACTAAACTTATATTGAAAGCACTAAATAGGCTTAGTAAATTTATCTCCAGAAGAAATGCATTCCTATCTAACTAATAGCGAGTAGTCTTATGAAAAAACATACCGAAACACACTTACTTGTAAAATTTCTTCTAGTTCGAGTATTTTCTTTGGAAAATCATTCAAAACCAACTTTTCAGCCTTTTTAAAATGAAAATTATAAGGGCACATGAAAACTTGGAAAGTTACACAGCCTATTTTAAATACAAATGTATAAGAATAAATATATTTAATGTATATAAACCATTCTGTGAGAATAATTACACAGAAAATGAAAATATTTGAACTTTCAAATAATAATTTCAATACATGAAAACAAACTTTACAATTTTTTACCAATATATATATATATATATATTTATTATTGGTCATATATGTTAAATTTTTACAATATACCCTAAAAACTTTTTAACTTAAGATTACTAGCAGGAACGTCACCCTATGGGTGGCTGTTTGAGCTTGTACTAATCGTAGTATTCATAACTCATTAACAAAAAATTTAGAAAAACTGAACATTTTCTAAAAAAAAGGATTTTTCTGGGAAGTACTGCACGGGACAGGTGTTTGGGTTGTGCTGATATAAACTGTAATGTTTTTATATATTAAAAGTGCTACCCTTCATTGAAAAACAAGTTTTTAAGAACTCTATTTTTTAGTACTATATTTACAAATTACATCAATAAAGATATAATCAAACCCTCACATACAGTCCTAGTGAAAGT